TATCTCTCTCTCTCTCTATCTCTCTCTCCCTCCCTCTATCTATCTATCTATCTATCTCTCTCTCCCTCCCTCTATCTATCTATCACCTGTTTGAAAACTATTTGATCTATTCATCACTTTCACAGCCATTTCCTTCCTACCTCTATTCATCCAATCAGGATAGACAGTATTTAGTAGTATCATGTAGTTACCGTCCACAGCCAGTTCCTGCGTGCATAGGTCGAGCAGACTCCGTTTTATTGGTGAAGAACCATTAATCTTGTATCCTTCCATATGGAAAGTATTATTCTGTTGGTTACTAATCAGTTATTTCTTTTCTGAATCCGTTAACAACAAATCATTGCAGTTAAAGTCTTTACTAGTTAAAGACTAACTGATATAGTTCTAGCATGTATACATTAAAACAATAACTATTAAAGCTCTATCTTCTAGACATTAAATGCCGATATAGATGTCGCTTGTATCCGTTGAAAAATAATAAAGTTCTACCCGTATCTGTTAAATAATTGTATATTTTTCCTTGTTTGCTGCCTTGTATCTGTTAGCGTTATATTTTACATGTTTTAACTTGTATACGTTAAACAACATTAAAGTTATATCTGTTAAACAATAACATTGCTCTATATTTTATATCTTAAATAAAATATAGTTCAAATTCAAGCAGTGCCACGCTGTGAATTAGCAGTTCCAAGTTCGAGTCACACACAATATGTCCCGAACACGCTCCGAATTTCCAACTGAAGTAATATTATGACGGTGACACCCAGTCCCATGTTATTTGGTGATTTATAAAATTAAGAAAAATAGTAGAAGTTCCACAAGCTCAGATTCTAAACTATAAATACTTAAAATTCTTCTGATGTCATGACTTACTATCAATTTGTAAATATTCGTTTATAAGATCTTAGGAGTGTTCAATAATTTCCTATGGACTGCTCCTGCCTTGCTTGGAGGCAACATTTTGAACTCTGTTCTGAATCTCCAAATCAGCCAGAAGCCTGTCAAAGCATTGCCCAAAACTTTCTTTAAAAAGTAATCTTTAGGTTATATTTTTGTTACACTTTAACTTTTTATACTCAGGTTAACCACGTTTCGTCACTGTCAAGTTATAGTTTGCTCCACAGATATTAAAGTACGTAAAGCATGAAACAACTAACTATACTGCTATGTTTATCAACATTCCTATACAAACCAGGAAGAACTTTAGATAGTGATACGTACATTAGGAAAACTCCTAAAACTATCAGTGTACTGAAAATTCTTTAGATTAGGCTAAAAAACGTACGTAGATATAACAACTCTGGAATACAAATATGGATATATTTTAAAGATAGTTTTTGTTTACAAGGCACGAACCGATTATCGCAAACCTGAAGTATAAAATAGGTTCCATAAATAAAACACTTACCGGTGACCTGAGCGTGATCTTCCACTTCCACAAGTATACGTCCTGAGAGAAAAGAACCAGGAAAATAAAGAAGATTTTCATTATCCAGTAAGATAAGGAACTTCCGCAGTTTTTTTGACATTTTTCGCTAATTTAATTCCAAGAAGTTTTTACACGTGGATTATCTGTGATCAATGACGTTGAAGCGACACAAAACTTAACGGGTTTAGCTTATACTACTTATCATTTCTCAAAAGGAGTAAAGAGGGGTCTTCGAAATGTAATTTCTTTCAACTTTACGTGCTACGTTTATTCCAGAGCAACCCAGTAATAAAATGTGTCACTCAGCCAGTATTAAAAACAAGTTATACTGACGAATGACGAATAAACAGCCAGTCCATCCAGTTTAAGGAAGACTTTCAGGTTAAACCTGTACCCGTGTTGTTCAGGAAATGTGAAACACTGGGCCGTCAAACGGGTATACGTTTAAATGACGTCAACCGTTACCAAAACAAGTACCTAATACGATGACGAGGAACCCACTTTGAGACTAATA